TATTCTTGTTCTGCTCATCCCAGAACGTGTAGCCAAACTCATCGCCGCCATAGCCAACAAAGAAACATTTTAAGGACTTAGGATCGAGTTTGCTTCTAGCATGATCACTCAGATGTACATATGAAACACATCCAAATACTCTCAGGTGAGAGAGATTTACCTGCTTTCCACTCCATACTTCTTCAGGTATTTTGTGCTCCAAAGGCACTGATGGTCCCCGGTTGATCAAGTAGGCAGCTGTGTTGACTGCTTCTGCCCAGAATTGATTTGGAAAACCTGCTTGTAACCGCATACTTCTGGCTCTCTCAGTCAAAGTTCTGTTCATCCGTTCTGCTACGCCATTCTGCTGGGGTGTACCTGGCACTGTCCTCTCTAATCTAATGTCGTTGTCATAACAGAACTTCTTGAACTCTGAGTCTTCATACTCGCCACCGTTGTCAGAACGAAGCTTCTTGATCTTCAAACCGGTCTCGTTCTCAACCATAGCCTTCCATCGCTTGAAGACTTCAAACACTTCTGATTTGTGTTTCATGAAATAAACCCAAGTCTTCCTCGAGTGATCATCTATAAAGGTCACGAAATATAACCTTCCGCCGGTGGATGGTACTGATGCTGGACCCCACACATCTGTGTGAACTAACTCAAGATGGTACTGATGCTGGACCCCACACATCTGTGTGAACTAACTCAAGCTTCTCTTCTTTAGGGGTTCTGCTAACCCTTTTGAAGCTTATTCTCTTTTGTTTCCCTAGAATGCAGCTTTCACATAGATCAATATCAACTGATCTCAAACCTAGTAACTTCCCGTTCGACTGCATAACCTTTAGGCCTTTGTTACTCATGTGACCTAGCCTCTGGTACCACAAATTTGGGTCTTCACTGCCTTCAGCCACTGCAATGGAACCTCATGCATCTATCGTCATATAGAGAGATCCCGTCTTCGTACCACGGGCAATAACCATGGATCACATGCAAAGGTTGATACGTATCCCTCTTTCGCCAATTGTCCTATGGAAATCAGATTTTTCCTCAAGCTAGGAACATGTCTCACATCACTCAGCTTCCATGTAGACCCATTGAGCTTGATTTGCACGACTCCTTTGCCAACAATGTCACAAGGCTGATCATCACCAAGATAGACTTTTCCTAGGTTTCCTGAAACGTAGTTCTCAAATAAATCTCTATTTGAGGTAGCATGAAACGAAGCTCCTGAATCCAGCACCCACGATTCAGTTTTGCTCTCCAACGAACAGATTAGGGCATCATCTGATTCTCCTGAGACCACGTTCGCTTCAGTCTTGTTCTCCTTGTCCTTCTTGGGGTTCTCGGCACTGATTTTCATAGTGGCCAAACTTACCACAATTCCAGCAGTCTATTTCCTTCTTGCCCTTGCGGTTCCTGGACTTTGGCCTTCCGTTCCTCGAGTTAGATCTTCCTCGGCTACTCCCTCTATTTCTGTTTCTGTTTCTTCCTCTGCCCTCAAGATTCAACGCCGACCCTGAATTAGAAATCCCTTCCTCTTGTCTTCTTATTTCCTCAGTCATAATCATGTCCACCACCTCTGAAAACTTCAGTTTTGATTTGCCACATGATCCGCTGATCGAGATAACGGTACCCTTCCAACTGTCGGGCAATTGACCAAGTATCAAGAGGGCTTGGATTTCATCGTCAAACTGAATATTGACCGAGTTTAGTTGATCCGTGATCTCGTTAAACTCGTTCAGGTGTTCCTTGAATTTCTGGCTCTCGGACATCCTCAAATTAAACAACTTTTTAATGAGATGTACCTTATTCGCCACAGAGGGCTGCTCATACATACTGGACAACGTCGCCATGAGATCCGTCGTCGTATTCTGATTCTTGATGTTGAACGCTACTGATTTAGACAAGGTCAACCTGATCGCTCCAAGGGCCTTTCGATCCAATAGCTTCCAATCCGCATCTTTCATATCCGTCGGCTTCTCTCCCAATGGTAGGTATAAATCCTTCTGATAGAGGTAGTCATCCATCTGCATCTTCCAGAACCCGAAGTTTGTTCCATCAAACTTCTCAATCTTGGATGTTTCCTTCTCAGATCCCATTGTCTCTGACCTCAAATCGCTCGCGCCGAACCTGGTCGCTCTGATACCACTTGTTGGGGATTTACCACCCCCTGATGCGATTTGGAAATAGAGATTTAGGGGAGAGAGAGAGAAAATCAAACAGTCACAAACACACAAGATTTACGTGGTTCGCTTCTCAATGTGAGAAACTACGTCCACGGCCGCCGCAGGAGAAAAATTCACTAATTTTCGTCTAAATACATCATGCCCTAGCCAACCCTTTTATAGACTTAAGGATTTAACAAATAAAGAAGGAAACAGAACAAAACAGGTTAAAATTCGAAACTGGGCCAAAACCCGACTCCGGTCGACCGCAGCACCACGTGCGGTCGACCGCGACGAATCCTATTCCTGATCGAGCTCTCTGGACTTTGGGCGGTCGACCGCAGCGACATGCTCGGTCGACCGCGACGAAGACAGAACTCTGGCCTGCTCTCTGGACTTTGAGCGGTCGACCGCAGCGCCACATGCGGTCGACCGCGATGAGCTCCTGGTCTGTGCACCCAGCTGTGCACATAGGCGGTCGACTGCCGCGCCATGGTCGGTCGACCGCAAAGCTGTAAAATCTCTTCTTCGTCGTTTTGCTTGAACTTCGTCGTCGTCGATCATGTTCCTCCTGTTCCAACTTTGTTCCTCCTCTCTTCTGAAGCATAGGGCATATCTGATAGTTAGGCTTCACATATCCTAACAGGCTTGGGGTAAGGTATTTTAAAAAAAAGCTTTGCTACGATGACCCAAATATAGGACCAACAGGGGGGCATGTGAGATGTCCACCTCCTATTGCATAATGAGCTGATCATCATTAATTATGGTCAGTTCATTATGCAATAGGAGGATGATACCTCACCTGTCCCCCCTGTTGGTCTCATATTTTATGTTCTTAGGAGAATTTTTAAAAAAAAAATCATTATCAATACGGATTTCACTTCGGCAATTCAAGGTGTTGTTCCGAATAATCCATATTTTAATCTTATAAAGAATATTACGGGGTTATTAATTAAGCAATAAGGACATCGAATTGTACATGTCCTCCATGAGGAGAATAATTGTACATATATACTAGTGAAGAAAGGACTATCATCTTCGTCACCTCCCTTATTTTCTTAGTGATATCTTGTATAGGGACTTTTTTAAGAGCTATTACATTTTTTTAACGATCTTTTAAGAGTTAAAGTTAGCTTTGGCCGTTTGGCTGCCTTTCGACGGAAAAAAAAAAAAATTGTACTATGTTTTTACAACTGTAATTCTCGCTTACCAAAGAGTCAAGGTTTAGTAGTTTTACCATCCTACATATGTAAATCGAATCAAAAGTTTGGTAGATTCTCATGCCGACGCATTTCATTTGTATCATCTTGTCTTTATTATTTCTACGTGTAGAAGGCTCGTGACGCTCTCATGTGGACTCATCGCAGCTCACAAGAACTATTTAATGACCCACAATTTTAGCGTACAACCGTGATTATTGACCCTCTGTATATCTCCTCAAATTATTTTCTTTTTTATCTCTAAATTTTTATAGCCATTAATTCCTTGCCGCTTACACTGTGTCAACAACAACTATTAAAAGATTGTCTGCTTTAAGCTATTAGCGGGGTCATATGATTAGCGGGGTGAATAAATTTTTTGTCTATAGAATTTTTTTTTTAAATTTGTGCTTTTAAAAGGAGTATGATATGATTAGCGGGGCGAATAAATTTTATAATTTCATCATATAAATAGCTATTTTTTATTAGCGTGTTTATCAAAATAAGTTGTCACTCCGTATATCTCAAATTATACTATTTTGTAAAAGAACATAAACTTTGAAAGAAGGTACACACCTGTCCTCACAAATCTAGAAGGTGAGCAAAAATAACAACCAATTAAATACCAATCCATTGGAAAAAAAACAGCCTTTTTGTCAGCTGAGAATAACTAATCCGAGCAGATCGTCCTCCGCACTTAGCAATCAAAATAAACCCTCTCTCAACATCTTTCTCTGTCATTTTCATCCCTTAACAAACAAAATCCCACAAATTATGACAGCCCCTAATCCTCCCTAAATCCCCACAGGTGTCCATTGTCTTCACACTATCACCCAAGAGAGGGGGAAAAAATAAAATAAAATTAAAAGATAGAGTAACATGACGCTTAAATCATGTTTTTTTTTATGAAATCACTTTACAAGCCACATCAGCATATGAAATTACTTTACACTATTTTCACAACTATAAACAAACAATTGAAAGTGATGAAAACTGACATTAGGACCCATTTTTTTACACTTTCCATCCTTTTACATGGTAAAAACATACAACCAAACAGCCCCTTAGAGGCACACCTCCGGTCACACTCCCCCCTACCTGCTACAGTGCAGGGGGTCCCACAGGAGATTTTTTTAAAAATCTCCTGTGGAGCCCCCTGCACTGTAGCAGGTGGGGGGAAGTGTGACCGGAGGTGTGCCTCATGATGTGCCTCTAACACCGCTCAATTAACCCTCTCTCAACATCTTTCTCTGTCATTTTCATCCCTTAACAAACAAAATCCCACAAATTATGACAGCCCCTAATCCTCCCTAAATCCCCACAGGTGTCCATTGTCTTCACAGTAACACCCAAGAGAGGGGAAAAAAATAAATAAATAAAAATAAATAAATAAAATTAAAAGATAGAGTAACATGACGCTTGTTCGCTTTTCCTTTTCACTACCCTTTTCATCATTATAAAATCTGACCCATCCCACTGTCTTCTCTCTCTGCTCACGCTCTCCAAGGGAAAAGCCCAGCTGGATTCTTGTTCTATATACAAGACCCAGATCTCAGAACAAAGGCCTTACTAAAAAAAATTTCTCACTACTTGAAGTAGTGAGGGGAGCTGGGGCTGGATCTGGTCACCTCCCTTCAG